GAAACCTAGGAATAAAAAGGGTGCCCTTTTGGGTTTAGAGGACTTTATAAGGGAACCTGAACCCTAAAACAGGGAATAAGGGCCAACTCTGGGTCCTGGTTAATTAAGGGGCCCGGAGTCTTCGCTTACCATGGCCTCGGGTTTAGGTCTTAGCTTAGAAACTTAGGGCGAAGTTTAGGGGTTTAGGACGGTTTAGGATTTCAGGGCTACTTTAAAGATGCCTTGGTTAATTCCCCAACAAGCCAGGGAAATAAACAGGTTAAACTTTCAGATTACTACTATAAGAACCAAGAAAGTTTAAAGGTTGGGTATTGGGTAACTAAGAAGTACAACGAGCAAACACCCTCAACACCCCAAGCCCATACTCCCCTTGACACCAAAAGTGCACCACTTTGCAAGCACCGAACACCTTAAACCTGAATCCAAGATTGCCAGAAACCCAAACCCCAACAACGAACCCTTCTCCCCTTCCAAAGCAAAAACCACGATCTAAAACCCCGAAGCCCGGAACCCCAAGCCCCAAATGCCTCACCCCTGAACCCAGAATCCCTAAACCTTGAACCCCTTAAACCCCCAAACTCCTAGGCTCTAAACCCTAAACTCCAAAGCTCTAACCCCTAAACCCCTAAACACCTAAACCCCTAAACCCGTAAACCCTAAAATTTTAAGCCCTAAACCCTGAGCTCTAAACCCCGGGCCGTGGGATGCAGACCCTCTCAACAAGGTGCCTTGTAAGGGGGCCATAAGTAGGGTTCAGAAGGGTCCCCTTTAAGGGGTCTCCCTCATACTACCTAGGACAATAAAAGCAGCTTTGCCTTGGTTGGCCACCGGCCGTCTGTCCACGGCCTTGGGCGCCGCTGAGCTCGAGACGGGTGCAGGGTTTTTAGGGTTAGGGGTTTAGGGGTTTCTGGTTTTAGGGCTTAGGGTTTTGGGGTTTTGGGTTCGGGCTGAGAGTTTGAGGGGTTTGAGGTTTAGGGAGTGGGCAGGAAGAAGGGCGTAGGGAGGCTTAGGATCTTAGTACTGGGGAATCCTCGGGAATAGTATTGGTATTTATATTTCTGCTTCTACATTTAGCTTCTTCTTATGGTTAAGAGATCCTAAGGCATGATACTGGTACTTAATTATGTCTTATTTAGCTTCATTTTTGTGGTTACGAGATTGCTCAGCTGCTCTTCGCTGCTGAAACAGCTTCTTTCACTCCAGCGAATAAGCCAGAGAAATACAAGGGTTAAACTTTCGGATTACTACTAGATGGGTAGCCGTCTAAATTTGGAAAAACTCGCTTGGATTTGGGTCCTCATGATGCAATCAGAACAGCGACATTGAGCCTCGTCGGCGTGTGTTTTGGGCTTCTGGCAATGGTCCTAATTCTGGCCCAGGAAAGGCTCAAGCTGCCGACAGCTGATATACGGTTTAGGGGTTTAGGGGTTTAGGGTTTAGGGGTTTAAGGGTATAGGGGTTTACGGGTTTAGGGTTTAGGTTGATGATCTAAAGCCTGCATTACCTGACGGACCCCAAACTATCAGAGGTATGTATGGGTGTATTCCTTATGGTGGGTAATGCAGGATTTATATCATCAAACATATCACAGCTCTTCTTTCCAAAGGGTTTAGAGTTAGGGTCTCAAGTCTGCTTTAACGGTATAATTGGGGGCCCCAGCTGTAGGACCCCCCCAGACCCCAACTACGTCATCTCAGCTGGAATGTTCCCCCGGAGACGACATGTACCGAGATCCGTGCTGGACCCATAGGAACAGCCGGAAATGCACGTCGAAACTCCCCAGACATCCTGCATTACCTTAAGGGCCTTACTTAAACTAGGGGAATTATGGTATATTCCTTATCATGGGTAATGCAGGATTTGTATCATCAACCGTAACACCCCCCTCCAAGCTTAGGGATGAGCTGAGGGGGGAGTGGTGGACTTCGCGTTCTCGAGTCTATCGTTGAGGGCTGTAGGGCTTCTTATCTTAATCCAACCTATTCCGGTCCCGACATGATTTCGGAAGCAAGGGCCCGCGCGAGAGTACATGTAGCCAGCCATGAAGCACACAACTCACCTCACACACAGGATAGACAGGTTCAACTTCACAACACGATTGACACTTTCCAAACTTAAGCCGGAGAGGGCTTTACGTGAGGTTTGCCGAACCCATCATCATCTCCCTGGTTCTTAGTAGGGAATGGGGGAATGGATCCTTATGATAGTCCCTGAAGGTTCCCTGGACTTTGAAGTAACCAGGGAGAAAAAAGGATAGACTTTTATTTTATAATGGTTCCTTTAAGGAACAGGTCCAAACAAAAAGTATTCAAGTATAGTACTCCAGAACCCAGTTCCCTATAGTAGTCCCAAAAACCCATTCCTCCAGTCCCTACTAAGAACCCGTCGGCATGTTCTGGTCTCCGAAGCTTCGGAGCACTCGAAAACTGAGCCTAGAAAGCGCAAAAAGCCACAAGCCCACCACAGCAGCTAAACATGCGCCTTTTGGGGTAACATCTCTACAGCGGGTTCGGTGGTGATGGCTCGCGTTTAATTGCTGGTTGGAGCTCGAGCGGACTCGAAAGCATGATGTGGCCCTAAACCCTAAATACCCTAAACATCCCTAAACCCTAAACCCTGATGGCAGTTGAGGATATGCACCTCTCAGACCCGCAATTATGTAGGGCCTGAGTAATTGGACTACTCATTTTTGAAGGCTTTTTTGTATAACTATGTCGGGATCATGACGGGATGTGATTTCTGATTTGCTGAGGCTCCCGTATTAGGTCTTAGATGCTTAGGCAACCCTAAGGAATCCTTGATAAAATCGGGGCCCAAGATTTCAGTGAACTCCTTTTCCGATTTTGCAAACTGTAATCAGATCCCCAGCGTGACTGCTACCACCTGCTTGAAGACAAGCGTGTGCATCTTTGGACTGACGAGGTTTAGAGGTTTAGGCTTCGGGTGTAGAGTTACTCGGAGGATCAAGAGACGTAGTAAGGAAGGCTAAGAAGTACCTTTAAGTGGGCCTGACAGTAACTCTCGCTGTTAGTTATCTGCTTCACAACCCCATAGTTGCCAAGTCCCATGACCCCCTTCAGTAGAAATCCTAAACCCTAAACCCCAAAACCCCTAAACTCCTAAACCCCAAAGCCCAAAACCCTAAACTCCTGAACCCAAAACCCCAAAGCCCAAAACCCTAAAACTCCTAAACCCCAAAAACCCAAAACTCCTAAACCCCAAAACCCCAAAGCCCTCAACCGTTGAGCTCCGGCCTGACCCTTCGTGCAAGTTGGAAGGCTCCGGATTGTAAAGTACACTCGACGATCCGGAAACCCTTAACTCTGAACCATTTAGGGCTTTTAGGGTTTAAAGGCTTCGGGTTTATGAAGGTTTAGGGTTTAGGGTTTTTAGGGTTTAAAGGCTTAGGGTTTATAAAGCTTGAGGGTTTATAAAAAGTTTAGAGTTTAGGGTTATCTTCTACGCACCCTCAATTTGGATCCACGCTAAAGACAGCACGCTTCATGATCTTGAGATATATACGACCTACTCCCCTAGACAATAATGTATCTCCAAAGCCCGGAGACAGTCTCGTACGAAGGAAAAAGCCATTCTTCAGCAGAGTATCACTGTCCCCTGGCCATCAACTCTGACTTCAATCCTTCTTCCAACGTGTGGGGCTTTGGCAATTAGAATAGGGTTTGGGGGTNNNNCCCCCCCCCCCCCCCCCCCCAAAACGTCAACCCCAAACCCCAAGCCCGAAACCCCAACACCCAAAAAAGGCTGCAACGACACCTTCATTCCCTAAACCCCTCAACCGGCACCCTAAAATCCATAGCAGCCAAGCCACCACTGGCGGGAAAAGTCGAGTCGAAGTCTGCTACTCTCTCGTCTAAGTTGACAGCCGAGACGGACGGCAGTGCAACTGTCAGGCCAGTGTGGAGGGCTTTGGATTTACTTCACGCTACTTAAAACCTCAGGTGTAAAGCTTAGACACGGCCATGTGCGAAGTCGTCGTAGATCAAAACAGTTAGACAGCAGCGCATGGCTGGCTTCGCAACAACCTCCTGAAGCCCTGCCTGGCGGTTTGGGTGATCCTATCTGCTCCTCCTGCGACGCGATGCTGGGCCTTTTCAGACGTGCACTCATGCGAAAACAGTGACCTTTTGCATCTCTCTGCGCAGGCTTTGCGAGCTCTGGGACCTGACTTCTGCAGGTCTGGAAGAGATGGATCTGCGCTGAGATCGTGGGCACTGCAACCACTGAGACATGCAGAGGCATGTCTGAGTTCTCGCAGGCCCAGGCTCTCCAGAACTCTCTGCGCTGATTGTTAAACTCACTGGGCCTTTCCGTTCTGTGAAGACCTCTCACTACTCACTCCTTGCAGCACTATTCCATCAGACTTGCATCTCCATAGGCTCCATGATCCACACCACGTAAGCAAGAAGAAAAAACGAACAATCTACTATCAGACTGACAATAATAGTAGCAGTCGTGGCAACAGTAACAATGACAACCAAACCAGGTTCTTCAGCACGACACCTAAAGGTCATGGCTCTGCTCCGAGGCATCTCCCTTAGGCCCTAGCCAAAACTTGTCGACCGGCTCATTGCGAAGGGACTATCTCAAAATTCTGGTGACCGTTCTGGGGCTCGTCTATTTTGGGCTCGGCTATGGTGTCGTGGTGATGCACTACTAGATTCCTGAGTAACCCCTTAAGAATTAGGGTACCCGTTTTCCGGTTGCTCAGTTTTTAATAAGAGAACCATACAATAAAAAGTGCAACAGGGTACTACTCGGGAACCTAGAATATGGGGGACCCTAATCCAAGAAACGGCGACTTCGTTTGAGGATCCGGTAACATGATAACCCGCACCTGAGCTTGATCGACCTAAAACAGCACCCTGGCTTTTGCAGAGTGCGTCTTCCCATCCCCCTGGGCAAGCAAATCTGTCCAGAGCTGGCCCCCATGCCGCTTTTGTGGAGAGCAGCTTCTCATGCCCACCAACCAGCAAGTCGGCCTACGGCTGGCTAAGCTGGCCCCCATACCAACCATCGTCACCACTGCAATCGTCTGATGGGTGTCCCAACCAGCATCCATCACTATCTCGATATTGCCATGTGCTGCAGTAGTCTTTACCCATCCTGCAACAAACGTCACTGCATTCTGTTTTGTTTGGGGCGCCGATGTAAACTAGGCCTGTGCACTGCCCTGTCTTGTCTGTCCACTGGCATTCAGTCATCCGGTCCAACTGGTCGTTTGAATTGTTGTACTTGCCCATCATCTGGTCCATGCTCATGAGGGGCGCGATGAGAAGGACAAGCGAGAAGACAAACAAGAGGGCAGCAATACTCCAAGGACCCACTCTCTTACGCAAGCCGAGCCAGAATGCAGCATCATACGGGAGCTGCCATGTCTTTGCCTCTGAATCCGGGATCTCCAGAAGGGCCCACCAAGGCAGCTCTTCCGGTAGAAGAGTGACACTTTTGCAGGCCTCCAAGTCTGGATCTCGGCCGTAAGCAGCCGCCACTGTCCGGCAGGCACTGTTGAACAAGCGCAGTGCCGAATCGTTCGCCGGTAAAGTTTCACAGTGCTGTCTGGTGTGATCCTTCACGCTCTTCGCCAAGGCCAATCGCCAAAGCCCGGTAAACTCGGCAGAGCGGAGCTGCTGAAGCAAAGCTTTCCGAATCCACGACATCACCTGATTTGGTCCCCTGACTCGTGAGGCATCATTGGGGTCGAACATCGTCCACTCCGCCTGATCGACGAAGGCCCCGGAGGACTCGAAGGCGGCCTCTGCCAGCTTCTTGATGGCGGCCTGCAGATCTGGCAATGCGTCGCGCGATTCCGTGTCTGCTTTGGTTGCTACTGGCAACACTTTGATCGTGAAGCGCCGGTCAAACTTGAGCTTGTGCAGCTGCTCGCTCATTTGTTTGGCTTTGTCCTCGTCGAACTGACGGAGCATAGACACCGGAACACACAAAAGGATGATGTGAGGAGCGTGCTCTTTGGGCAGCCCCTTCTCCCTCAACACCTCCTTGTACTGTGCATGAATGTCCGTACTCTTTTCGGGGCACCAGCCAGGTGTGTCGATTATTTCCAGTCTGAGCTTGTCTGAGAGATCTTCAAGATCGACCCCGATGCTTTGCGCTTTCTCAGTTCTGTTCCTGAAGCATGTCATGGCAATCTCTGTGCTTAGAACATGTGTAAGAACCGGCGAAGATCACACGCCTGCACACCTGCAAACCACAAGCACCCTAGTCTTACTTCCCCAATAAGCCAGGGAAATAAAAGGTTAATCTTTCAGGTTAGTACTAAATCACAAGAACCCAAAAAGTTTAAAAAACATGGGTAAATTGGGGAACTAAGTAGTCTCAAATCCTTCTGCCCAATCCCTGCCTCAGGTGTGGACCAGGCTGAACTGCGGGCTGAAAACACTCACCGCCCAAGGCCTGCACGAGAGTGGTCTTGCCGGCACCGGCCGGACCCAACACCAAGCAGCTGTGAGTTAGGATGAGCTGAAATGGCGTTTCCAGGACCTTTTGCGTGAAGTCCGGCTTGTCTTCGAGGACCCTTGTGTCCCGGAAGCCGCCCTTCACAAATCCCTCAATCATCTCAAGGAGCTTTGGAATCTGCGGATCATTGACGAAGGTCCAGGAAGTGCCAGAGGCCTCAGAATTGGCCGGTGGGCTGGGTGCGGAGCTGTCTGCAAGGAGCGGCTGATGCATGGTGCTGCCGAAATCCTTGTTCTACAACTAGAGTTGCAAGTTTGGGCCAGACTCTGCCTGCCACATATCCTCATTGCTTCAGGTGCCAGGACAGACATGCGTAACCCCTTTGCAACTAGATCATGCAATAGAAGTAGTGATCTAGTAGTAGCTGTACTTGCAGTGTCAGTACTGCTGGCGGCGGTGGTGGTGTTGGTAGCAGTACTACTTCATACTACTCTATGATGCTGTGCTATGCTGCTCTGACGCGGTCTATGCTTCTGAGTCCTTCTATATGACGAGACTGCACCTCGAGTGCTGTATGAATCTAATGCCCCATCGTAGCTTGTCGCAGTCACAAGCAATCATGCAACTGCAGTGAATTGGTGTTCGCCTGCGTGCGTGCACATCATGTGCCCCTCGCAGGAGTTGTTCCAATAGTCTGAGGATGCTCGGATGCTGCACGCTGGAGCGCCGAGTTGCGAGGACCCTACCTTCCGTTAGGGATGCCCTGGCCCATACGCTCCACGTGAGAGCGCGAGGTCGAGGCAAATTTCGAGGGCAGTTCACGACAAGGGAAGGGCACGACATGAAGCGAAATTTCGAGGACCCTCCCGGCTGGACTGGAGTCGCAGCCGGCCTTCGTGCGCAAAGACATATGAGTTCGCACAAGACCTTCGTTTTTGGGTGGATTTTTGGGGTACCCGCGACCCCCATCCCGCCCAAGAGGCTGGCAAACACTCTTGCAACCTAGCCTCCTCTTACACTCACACACTCCTCTTCAGGCCTATAACCATGAGTGATTAAGCTCTCATGCGACTCTGCCCTTTTCCGGCTTTGGCGGATGCCACAAGCGTCGGTGCGATGTCCCGTATTGGAACACCTCGGTGGCGGAGAGAACAGAAGCTGTTCTTGCAGAAAGATATGGCAGCAGCTGCATGAGCGCTACCATCGCGTTATAACTTAGGATTCGTTTGAGGGTTCTGCATAGGGACACGGTCGCTAAAAGGGATTTCGGAACGATGGACCTCCTGCAGTGATACTGTTGCTACGATTTCCTAGATAATGACCAATACTATTTTGGGCTTCCTGATTGAAACATGTCTGGCACACCCCTAGACCCTGAACCCTAACCTAAGCCCTATTCTCATGAATAAGGTCCCTTTATGGCAGCGCCCTTTTTTGAGCGGTCTTATAAACGCAGCATCTCCGCAGCCAACATCCGAAGGTCAAACCTACAAGCCACATAGTGCTCACGTTAGAAGACATCACCGGTACACTGAGGTGCTGTTGTGGCCTTATATGCCCCGGTTCCAGGTCAGCCTTGTAACTCAACAGTTAAGAAGACTCAATGTGTGATCTAAACACTTGCAAGCACTCAAGGCCGAATGCTGCGGCGTTGCAGAGTCACACAAACAGTGCCTATTACGGGACTAAAGTGTATAAACAGTAGTTTTTTGAGCTCCTTCTGTTCTTGCCCTCCGCCCAGCCTCGGCTTACACGTTTCTTGCATGGCTTTGTCGGTTCAGGGTTTTCATGCTTTTTGAATGGGGGCCCTACGCCCGAAATAAATGCAGCACCCGAAAGCTAAAACAACGTCTGTTCAGACAGGAGGCCACTTTTTGACGACGACGCAGCTTCCTTCTTATCATCGGCCTTTCCATGTGCTAAACACTAAAGGCTTGTGGAAAACCGCAATGCGGCCCTACCCCGGAATGGGACCTATTTCCTGATGAGAACCTACACCGCACCTGAAGCCCAACCGTCAAGAAGGAGCCCGGGTAGAATTTTGGGCGCTTCAGGTAGATCCGGAGTTTTAATTTAAAGGGTTCAGGGTGTAGGGTTGATGCTCTTGAATAAACTATAGCCGAGAGAAAGAAACCATGTGCCTGAACTGCTTAAGTCTATGACTGTGGGCCGTGGGGCTTCGGTGTGAGATTTAGGCATTGGGCTCCGGCTCCGGGCGAAACGACGAGGATCTAGGGTGTGTTTGTTTAGGGTTTAGGGTTTAGGGGTTTAGGGTTTAGAGTTTAGGGGTTTAGGGGTTTAGGGTATTAGCATTTGTCACTACTATTGCTATTGTTGCTACCACAACCATGACTAGACTACGATGAATATTACCATTGCTAGTAGTGCTACAAGTGCTACAGAGGGCTCAGGGATGTTCTTCCCGACTATACAAACCTGAATTCCCCAATAAGCCAGGGAACTGAAAGGTTAAACTTCCAGACTACTACAAAAAACCCTAGACCCTAAACCTAAACTCCTAAACCCCTAANNTAAACCCTAAACCCTAAAACAGCTTATAAAGGTTCGGGTCTTGGGGTCGGCTACAGACCGACCAGCCCTCTGAGAAGGCGCAGAGCCCAAAGAAGTCTTGCAGCCCGACAAAGCCCGACAAGGCCCTCATCTGAAAACCCGAAAAACGCTTACTTCCCCGATAAGGGGTTTAGGGTTTCGGGTTTAGGAGGTTTAGGGTTTAGGCTTAATTCCCCAATAAGCCATCAGGTTACTACAAAATAAGTAACAAGAACCCAACAAGTTCAAAAGGCTGGGTATTGGGGAACCAAATAAACAAACGCCCTCGGAGAGCTCCAAGAGCCCCCGCAAAAAAAAAAAAAACCGAAAAAAGTACCACACCCGACCCTGCAAACCCCTAAACCCCCTAAACTCTATAAACCCCTAAACCCCCTATAAACCCTATAAACCCCAAAATCCCCTAAAAACCCCTATAAACCCCCTAAAAAGCCCTAAGTCCCCTAAAACCGTCTCAGAGCCTTCGCCAGCGCCAGCTTTAGGCGCAGCAAAGGGATGGAGCCCCTGGGATGGTAGGTCCCCGAGCAGCCTGGGGTTTCTGAAAGCCAACTCAAGGGTCTTGGGCTTAGGATTTAGGGTTTAGGGGTCTAGGCCTTTTTGAGATTTTGGGGTTGTAGGTCCCAGAGCAGCCTGGGTTTTGTGAAAGCCAGCTCAAGGGGTCTTAGGGGGTCTTGGGGTTTCAGGGCTTTGGGTTCTTAGGGTCTTGGGTTTAGGGTTGGGGTTGTGAAGCCAACTCAAGGGTCTTAGGGGTCTTGGGGTCTTGGGGTTTTGGGGTTCAATTGGGTCTTGGGGTTTTGGGGCTTTGGGTTCTGGTTTAGGGTCTCGGGGTTTTGGGCTTGAGGGTTCTGTTTTAGGGTCTTGGGGTTTTGGGGTTTAGGGTTCTGGGGTTCAATTTGAGGAAATGCTGGTGATGGTGATGAAGATGATGGCGGTGAGGATTGTGACGTTGGCTGACAAGGACGAAAATGATGAGTAAGAAGAAGACTAGGGATGCTGGCGATGTTGGGGATAGAACGCAAGCAGCACAGGCATCCCAAGGATCAACGGCTCATCTTTCTCATGTCGGGCTTCTGGTCTCTCACTTCTAAGACCAGGCCAAGGGTTCAGGTGTAAGTGTGCCCAGGGGCTGAGATGGACGGATTCTTGCCCTGGGCTGCCCTGAACTCTACTCCTCTGCTTTTGCTTCTGATTACTACTAAGTCTTTCTAAGACTACAAGAATTCTTGCTGCAGCTGTAGAAGGCAGAGGGCTGATCCAAACTTCAAGGGTTTCGGGTTGAGACGATGTGCCCTGCACACTTACAGACTGCAACACCGCTCTTGGTCTTTTCCGCTGGGTTGTTCAGATACCAGGGCTTACTTCGTTCAGTGTCAGGGAGAGAGTCATAGGACAAACGCCTGCAAGAACAACTGTCAGGACTTCGAACAGCCGACCAAGCCTCTACCAAGCCCAAACTCCCCAAGCCTTTGCAGCGATCTCATCCGAGCGGCGGAGCTCGAATGGGTTCGTCGCACCTGCGCCCTGGAGCGCGGTCTGCACCACCTTTCCTTGGTCTATAATGTTTTGGGGTCCTTGGTGGCTTAATTTTTTTAGGGACTAAAGAAGGGACTGTGGCTTTAGCAAAGCCACCTAGAGAGAAGTCAGAAGGTTGGACATATTTCCCCTCATAGTCCTTGTACTAGTGTAGGAGCCTGATTAAGAAACCATGGGCCGTTATTAGGCTTCTTCATATGAACACTGATACATATGTATATATATATATACACACATAAATAACTAACTAACTAACTAAATATAAATATAAATATAAATATAAATATAAATTTAAATATAAATATAAATATAAATATAAATATAAATATGAATATAAATATAAATATATATATAGAGGGGTTGCAGGGCCAGGGTTCTTAATCAGGTTCCTACATTAAACGAGTTTACCACCCGAACACTATTCTAGGTCAGGTAGTATTCAGCAAATTCTGATGGCAGTCGCTGAGCTGGTCTTGGACGCCGTTAACAGTTGCTGATCGGCTGATCGTGTGGTTTCGGAAAGCAGCTGTACGACAATCGAAGCCCGCTTCGCAGACGGACTATCGAAGATAAACGCGTTCCTCGGTCGAACCTCAATTGGAGTCCACTTCTCGTTCCGACTGTATATGGGCTGGCGCTCAGGGTCAATCCTAAACAAGTAGGTTTCATGTAGATCAAGAGACTTAGTCAGGAGATCCTAGTTGAGATGCTGCTTCTTACTGAATGCGACTGGACTTCCGGTGTTTATCACCAAACATTTACATTGTCAGAAGGATGGGATCTCAGATCTTAAGTACCGCAACCGCATCAACATCCGTGTGAGCGGAGCTTATCCCAATAGGCGTGGATACAACCTCAGCAAAATCCTCTTTCAGGTAATCTAGACGCCGACAGCATAAGGCAACCCTAACCTCTATCCACGTCATTCCGGCAATTGGACAAGTCAGACATTTGCGTCGCTGTGCTCTTTGTTTGGGGTCGCTTCAATTGTTGTGACTTGTCAAGTCACGGCCCCTGTAACTAGTCGGCTGCTGACTTCGATAAGCCCTGGAAAAATATTTCCGTGCTTTTGGTGGGTGTAGATTGGGCTATGACATGTGTTAATGACCCTGCGTCACGTGCAGCCGTGCAGCCGCGCAAGTTATGCTTGTCATGAGCACCAGAGGGCGTCT